GAAAAAATCCATAAGAAAAATTCGGCACTTCTAATAAACACACACTGCTTTGTAGTGCAACTATGATTATTAACGGATGGATATTCATATAAATCAACATCTTATATAGATTAAAACAAGGAGTTCATTTTACTTGTAATTTAAGCTGGTTAACCACATCAAGACTAGTGACATATATACTTCAAAATTCAAATGCTACTGCTAATATGTTTGGAATTGCAAATAGTTCATTTCGATTATGTAGTATTATTGTCATCATAATAAATCTCGACATGACTATGTTACTCAATATTAACTACACTATTAAGAATCTCGTAAATATTCTTTTTTGACTTTCCAAAGAATATTTTAACCAATACAAGAATACAGTTTGATAATAAATGCGTACCTGAAGAGTGTAACACAACTATACCAGCACCAGACTTAGTTCTCTATATATCTTAGTCCTCTATTTAATTGATTTATGTAGGACATTAAAGTTCTACTCTCATTTTTATTTTATGACTACAATGGAATAGAAATATTTTCTTTGAAGTGGTGGTCTAAGCTTTGGGTAAGGTAATAGGTGACACGACACTTTGAGTGTCATTGGAATATGTCAGATTCATGTCAAGTCTTTTTCGAGTTAGTGCAACTGGCCACTTTTACTCTTTGATAGCTGGGGTGTTTCTGCAGAGTGCCATCTTTTTCATTGACTAATTTATGTATTCCTCAAAAGTTTCGTGATTATTCGATGACTGATCTAAGATCTGCGTACCGATCTGTGCGGCTAGAGATTATTCTGAGATTAGATAATGGTAAGTAAGGCAGCCTATCGGTTTTCTCGAATAGCCAACAGGGCTATGTCTCTTATGTATTTTTTTGAGTAGGTCTCTTCTAAGGTCTCTTAGCATGTCATTTAGATGGATGTACCAAGGCAGTTTGAAGAGTTTTCGGAAAGCCTGAAATAAATTTTTTTTTTTAAAATTTCTTTCACGGGGTTTTTCCATTCTGAAAAAAATATATACTTAGGCTATGTTTTTAAACTGAATATATATACTCGTAGGTCTCATTTTTAGAAAAATTGTATTTATACTATAAAAAAACACAATGTGTACTTTTGAATTATTTTATTTTTGAGCGAATTTAAAAATCATAACTTTTCAAAATTATACACATTGTATCATATGAAATACGGGTCTTAGTCTCTTCCTCGTGTTCCGAAACAAAGATGAATTTTACAAAGGTTAAAATAAAGTATAAATGTAGTAATTCAGGCATTAAGTTAATATTAAATTTAAAATATTTAATGTTTAAAATTAACTAAAAAACTAACAGAACAGCTTAAATATACAAATAGTTATTAGTTGTCCATTGTTTCAATAGAAGGCTTACAATGTCTAGGAATCTTAATATAAAATACGAGAGTACACATCCATAAATTAATAAGAAAAAGCGAAAAAAATTCAAAAATATCTCAAAGCATTAAATTTATTTTAATTTACATGTAATGCAAGAAAATATTGTATGCGCAGTGCCAACATTTCCTTGACAAAGTTTGTGTACTTCCGTGCACTTCGCCGGTATCATTTTCGTGTAATTTCTCATTTCGGGACTTTATCAATGAAACGTAATACACAAATTCAGCAATTTTATTTGAGTTCATTAAATCAATTCACATCGACGACTGAGAATGCCACTCAGTCCCCAAGAAAAACTCGTGCGATTTTTTCAAATTAAGAAAATATGCGAAGTTTTTAAAAATTGCCATTAGCAAAAGTATCTTCTCTGCTGTTGCTATTTTCCCGAAACTCAAAAAAAATATTTTGTTTCTAATAAAGAAAAAGCACTTTAGAGAAAGTTCTGGCAAGGAATCGTGCGACTCCTAAAAATTTCATACCTCATGTGGAATCAAGGGTTGCGTGTGTATGGAAAGGCAGGAAAGCAATTTGCTTGATAAAATTGTTTCAAATGGCATCGGTTTTTCTTATTTTGACAATTATTTTATAATTTTTCCCTTTAGTTTCTTTTGGGCATACAACTTTTTATTGACTTTGTTGTGTAAGTTTGAACAAGTCTATTGCCAGAGAATGGGAAAATGTTAGTCATAAGATTTAGCAAGTTTGCTCATCATTGCTTATGCGGAAAATTTTGTTCCATTTGACTGTAACTGCTGCATCACGCGGAATCTTAGTCAAAGGAAACTTTATTCAAATAGGATTCTAGAACAGAAACTTTTCTAAAAGAATTTTAAAATTTTTCCCAACTTAAATTTATTTTTTATGTATTTTCTCATATTTTGTGTGATTTGATTGTGAGAAAATAATAATTTGGAACTGCTGCAACGCTGCAGATACTTTGGAACAATAACAAGGTTTTGCATTTATTAATTCATTGATACCAACTAAAGCTAAGAATGCAAGTTTTATATGCAAGTTTTTTATTCATAATATTAAGAAGAAGCCCTGCAAAGTTATTGTACTTGCCAAAATTAAATTAACAAAATTATTATCACTTTTTCTGTGACAAAGCTAAAACCGCAGAGCATAAGCCATAAAGAACTTGAATTTACCTGTCTCCAATGTCAGTAAGTTTTATGACACGATAGCTGCAAACTTTGATGCGAAGAAGGGGAAACAGCAGAACAGATTCCGATACTGTGATAGTCTCGCCAGATTCAGATCTCGGCACTTATCCACTGCTTATCTACTTATAACGGAATTAGGCAACATCTCTCCAAAAGGCATAATGACGTTTCTAACTGCTGCTCATTTATGGAACTGAAGTGAGTATGTCACAATAATCCTCAAAGAATGCAGTGACGTGGTGACAAGTTCCCAACCCATCTTAAAATCTAATCCAATCTAAGTGTTATGCGTTACTATAATGATTCATGTGTTTCTTTTAGTAGTGTTCTTCCCCATGTCATATTGAGCCTTTCTAGTCGTTTAGAAAACAAGTGGATAATTTATTTCTATTCAAATCAATTTTATTGTTCACATTAGATGAACTATTTCACTTAGTGTTTTGATTATCCCATTTGTTTTTCTAATAATATATAAGAGAGAAAATTGTGTTACAAAATGTGGTAAAAGTTCACCAGTGAGGAAACTGGTGTATATGGACTAGGCAAAAGATACTTAAAAGCACTGGGATGAAATGTAACCATCTTTCAAGCGGAGATATACGCGATAGATGCATCAGTTTCAACTTTGAACGCGACTACCGGAACCGTAGTATTGCAAAACTGACTGATAGCTAAGTAGCTATAATGGCACTCATATTTTACCGGGTAACATCCAAACTGGTGTTGGAGTACATTGACAAGCTAAACATAATTGGCTGAAACAATCCGGTGCACTTAATATCGATTCGGGGGCATGCTGAAGTCCAATATAATGAAGAAGTAGACAAACTCACAAGAAAAGGCGCGGATTCAATAATAATACTCCCAGAATTTTTCTGCAATCTAGACAAAGGAACTCTATCCCCTTTTATGAACGGCGTAGAGGCAAAGGAAAGAACTACCAAGGCTAACACAATATAAAATACTTTTAATTACTTACAATCAAAAACGCTTCAAGAATTGCATAGACCTGGCAAAGAATAATCTAAAAATTATTACCGGAATACTAACCGGTCATTTCAGATTAAATAATCACTAACGAAGTTAGGAATCAAATCCAAATCAGACTGCGGATACCGCTAAGATGAAAAAGAAACTGCATGCCATGTCCTGAGAGAATGCCCGGCACTGATGTACAAGCTGTAGAAACACCTAGGGAGTATTTCAATGAATATAGGGTTTCAAGGCTAGAAAAGATAGACTCTATACTGTCTTTCATTAAAGAAATCGGATTTGGAAAATTTTTTAATCCCACTAAGGTGTACAATAGGTCCTTAAGGTCGCAATATACTATTCCTTTTACTGATGATAATAATAAATGTGGTAAGAGTGAAAAAATATTCGAATCTGAAGAAATTTTCTAATTAGATATACTCTTAGGCAGATTATAAAGCTGTTCCGGATATTGGTCAATATCCGTCATTAGTGATGTATGGAAAAATCCGTATATAATTTTTTGAACACAAGTTTAAGGAACTTGAACTGTGTTAACTTCAAACCGTTAAACAGCCATTACTTTTTATCGCATTTTATATTCTATTTGAGATAGATTTCTGGTCATTAGACAAAAAATTCTTTATTTAAAATTGAAGTAGGAGATTGTATAAATCTTTGTTCAGTCTCCATCTCGGAAATGTGACTGTTTGAATTCGGCAATAATTTATTTATATTGGTTAAATTAATTTATATAGCTGTAGTTTATGCATTGGTTCTAATTAAAAGCACATCAAGTGTAATGGTTATTTAAATACACAATAAAAATTGACAAATTTCGGAAATTTAAATTAAGTGTACACTGGTTTTGTGTGTTAACACACGGGTCCATTATTCACAGTTAGCAAGAGATGTTCTAATATGTTGCAATTAAGATAAAAATACCTAAAAAATATCTAAAAAATATGATTAAAAAAAATAAGAAGTAAAATTTAGGGATACTCAAACATCAAAGGGTTCAAAAAAATGTTTAAAAGCGTGTCCCCGCGAGTGTGGAAATAATGTTATAGGTTGTAACATATCTTTTTGTGCCACTGTTTGTACCAATACTTTTATGGGTAATGTTTGAGTACATTGTGTTGTCCCCCAACGACATTTATGATGACAGAAACTATGACACGTACTCCATCATTGCATATGACAGGAGTACACAAACAAGCCCAGCCTTATTCCAAATTGTTAGTTTGTATGAAAGTGGAAAAAATGAGTTGCACACTTGTCAAAGAATGGCAGGAATAAAATGGCAGGAGAAATAATAAAACAAAGAAAAGACAATATTGTATCAAAAATGTCAGAGCGCATATAATTACAAAAAGTTTAAAGGACATTTTTTGAAAAAAAAAAAAAAATTTCATACATAAAACAGAAGTCACAAAGAATAACATTAAAATTTTTTACTTACAATCAACGCTGACTTTAATTCGCTTGGAGACCGTTGGCGGCACGCCGTTTGATGCAATGCACAAGTAAGCGCCCATGTCCAAACGTGATATACGCGTAACTTCCAGAGTGTCGCCTTCCCACTCGTTCACTAAAGTCAAAAGCAAAAAGACACATTAGTGGTAAAAATTTTTATTCCACTAAAGCAAGTGTGAATGAAACGACAATGATTTTAATAAAAATACAACAAATATATACCATATATATTTTATTACGTATATATGGTATATATTTTTATATATATTGTCTGCGATTTTTAGTTTAATTTAGAATTGTTTCAGAATTGGCTTATTTGGTAGGAAAATGTGCAAAAGTGATAATTCAGACATCTTTAGAGTAAGGTCCTTATAAGCAGTCACTTGAATAAGGTCATTATGAAATGAGAGAAGAGAAGGGAATACCAATTAAAAACTTTCGCTAAATAATGTACACTTAGAGATCTATATGTGGTTTATATTGATGTCAGTACAATCTACAATATCACTTAAATTAGTTAGAGTTCTTCAACACTGATGCCTACGCATGTCGTGAAATAGATTTCGGTAGTTTTATAAATGTCCAGCTTTTGGATGACAAAGCCTTCAATTATGTCTACACAGAAATTATGGAACAATAAACCCCAAACTGTGCTAAAATTTATAATAACCCTAAATTTACAGATTTCAGAATTAATGCAATACGAAAGATACTAATTCAGATAGCACTGTTATAATGATAATAATAATAATGAGGTTCTCAAAATTTTAATACAATCTAATGGACATCTAAATCTAAAAAACTAAACCATAATTAGCAGCGTTTTGTGGCCTATAGTAATATTAATCAGGTCCTATAGGATTTCATAAAATCTAATGGACTTTGCAGCCGTAGTATAACTAAGTACGTACAGGTAAGAAAAACATATAGAAATATGTGTATTGCCTTCAGTCTAAACCTCAGAATATGTAATAATGGAGAGTATTTTGATTCTCTAGTTCTATCTACTTAAGTTTCAAACCGGAATTTAATGAAACTTATAAAATACCTGTATTTTCCCATAGTGAAAACCGGAGTGGAACTGAAAAAATATATTGGGTTATAACGGTTTAGCACTGTACAGCTCGGTGCCTGTTTATTTCTGCGCATTAGACTGCAATTCTTGAAACTTTATGGAATGAAAGTTAAAAATTCAAAAACCGTTTTTGTTTAAAAGGTAACCCTTTTTTAAATAAAATCAATCGGTTAATTATGGTTTTTAACAGATTAATTTAAATGATTTTATTCACAATAAAAAAAATTGCAATACAAATACGTAAAATGTGTTTACTCGGAATTGAACTGAAAACCCAAAAAAAAGATAATTTTGTTGAGGAAAAAATTTGTACTCATAATTATTTTAAGAGATTTCATTTTAAAATGATCAAGAAGCCTATTAAAACTTCATTATACTACATTTTAAAACAACATTTTATGTATTTATAATATTAATTAATATAATTATTAATTATATAATAATTTTTGTTTGCTGCCTTAATTCTCCCACCAATTTAGATTATATTTTGATGTGTTTTTTTAAGGTCCCATGTTTAAATGACTTAGTCCTAGCTTATGTATACTTGCTTGCAGGATTACTAATATCTGGTCTAGTTTATCAGACTGATAACTGAAACGCAATGAGACTGTATTATATGTTTTATAATCAGAGAAACAATATTAAAACATTTTATAAACCTACTTTCCAAAGCCAATTCAAATCAGTTCTAATGCGAAGAAATTGCTTAGAAGAAAGGCTATTTAGCAACGACATCCATAGAAGCATATTTAGCTAAATGTAGAAAAGACGAAGACAAAGAAACCCAAAAGACTAATTATCAAAACAAAACAAAATTCCGTGAAATTAGAGAACAAGGAATGCTTTTAGGTTTAATACTTCATAAAAAATATATATCGAAGAAGGTTATAAGAGAAAAAAAGCTTCTATAAAATGCAATCTTTCCATCAGTTTGACCATTTCTATAGAAGTAATAGAGATTGAGCAACAAAAACAATACACTATTCTATTAACAAATAAAAAAAACCCATATTTTTAGGGAATGCATAGTGTACTTGTGGTGCATACTGCTCTAGATTACTGCTGTATGTCAAAAGTAATGGCCTTGTGAAAGAGTCAGATCTGAGTCATTAAAAACAGACAAAGCTATGTAAGTACTTACTGAAATAGTTGAAGATAGCAACTCATTGTTAGATTTACTACAGATTCGAAAAATTTTCCAAAATTAAGGAATTATAAATCCTACAAATATATGTGAATATAAAAGGAATACAAGTATTAAAAATACTACAACTAATGCAAACGACCCCAATAAAGACTCCTGCAGTAACCACATAGAGAATGGAGTGAAAGTGTGGAATGGGCTAACACATAATATCAAAAACACATAATACTGTGATTTTTACTTTAGTAAAAATCTTTGTCAAATGAGTGTAGCAAAGATATTAAGAATGATAACTGGTGCCCCCTGGTATGTCAAAAAAAATATGCATTCCGATTTGGAAGCTCTGATGATTAAAGTTGAGTTTCAAATTTTGGAAACTATATAAATCCGCTGGTTAGACCTCTTGCTAATATGATAAATTTTTCAAGACTGAAACGGAATGATTTATCTACCGTCTTACTATCCGAAATATTATCCTGTTTAAATCAACTTATGTGTCGCGATAAGTGGTAAATAAGCCCTGGCTACTTATTCAGAGGCCCCTTAAAATAATTTACAATGCATTTTATAATTCATTACAGTATGCATATATAAAATAATTTGTAATGTAATATTATTTATTAGTTTTTTATGATTCTAGAATTTATAGTTACGCTTTAAATAAAAGCGATTCAATAAAGAAGTTGTTATATATAACAAAAAAAAAATGGGCGTGTCGATGAAGTAGATCTTTAATGGTTTACATTTGAACTTTGTTTAGCTTTTCTAACCACTAATGTGAACAGAACTTATTTTGGTTTTAGTTACTTATATTAGTTCATATTATCGAAGTTGCACTGTTTATAAAAAATATTTCTAATTGTTGATTTACCTATATGGTTTTTGCTGATAGTAATTCTAGAATTGTCGTCGCGTTTCCATTTGATGATCGGACGCGGACTGCCCGTTGCTCGGCACCGTAATGATATATTCGATCCCTCACGTACGATGACATCACTTGAACTAAGGGAATCATCAATATTTGGAGGCACTATGAAAAAAATGAAGGAATATAAAAACGAAATTTTATTATATATTTTTAATTAAAATATGAAAATAATTTATGATGGAATTGTATTGAAGTTGGGAATTAAAAGTTCCAAATTGACTTTTATGGTTTGTAGTTATTTAGATTTATGAATTACTAATAAGCTGCGCCTAAAAAGAAGAGCTCGAAAGGAAAATATCACAATTTATAATTTCGCAAAATCACAAGGAATTAAAACAAAATTTGTATTCAACAAAAATCACAAGTCAAGAGGTCCTCTTACAGCATCCTTAAGACGCAAAAGTAATAAAAGTCTACAAAATGATTATCAAGTTGTTGCTGTACCAATTGTATAGTTTCGTGTTGTTGTCTGCTGAGCTGGTGAGCTGGTGAGTTGGTGGGGTGTTGAGCTGGTGAGCTGGAGAGCAATGGCGAGCAATGGCGCAATTTGAAAAAGTTTTTATCAACTAGCAACTGCATTCTATTAAATATACGAGGAAATAAGACAAACAGCAAATTTTTCTAAAATAAAACCCATAAAAATATTAAACAAAAAAATTACAAAAATAAAAAATGTACTTATTTATTTGGCCAAGAGGCTAAATGAGTTCTTGACTTACCACTTGTACTCACAACAAACAGCAAAACCAACTGAAACAGCAACATCATTACCATGATGATTTGCTTACACGTCCTCCTTTCAAGATGTTAAAGCGACACGCTTCCATAAGTTCTAAGGAGGATTGAAGCTTTAACAGCTTTAGTGGCTCTGCGGTTTTCAGAAGCAACAGTGTGTGCGGCTTGTGGTGTTTGGTAACTGTTTCCGTGTTAATGCAAATGCCATTAACATACGAGTGTCGGAGCGGTTGTGGGCTAGGAAGCTATAGTAGCAACAGCAGTAGCAAAATAACAACAATATTTCAACAAGAGCGGACGTTGTTGGGAACATTGTGCCGTAGTGATGCGAAAATGCAAAATGTCCTTCTCCTCAGTGTTGGCAACATGACGACACTTTCAAATTGAATCGACACAATGTTTTGTATTATTTCCATGTATATCTATTGCTTTTCGTTGATGTTAATGAAGATGTTGTTATATTATAATTATTATTATTGTTGGTTGGTTAGTTAGTTGGTTGGTTGGTTGGTTGGTTGGTTGGATGGTTGACTGTAGACTATGGTTTGACTCCTGACTCACTTTCTTTCCTTTATGAATTTGACTCAACTCATTGGTGTGGAAGGACGACATTGACTAAAGACTTATTTTAAGCATATTCCATCTTTCAACACTTATCACTCTTACTACTTTTGCGTTCATTCATTGAAATTATAAGCACTGCCCGAGCTACTTGTAACCAACCTCACTATGAAAGTATTTATAATTAGAAGGAAATGGATAGAGTATAAAAACCAAAGTAACTTAATGCAGAGAACGCTAGGTTGACTTTTATAGATGCATTAATTTCTTGTCTTATACATAGTTAGTTAATCAAGTGTTTAGTTTGCACTTGCCAAACTTTAGATAGGAAAGATATCTAAAATAATAGTAATTTTCTTGGGATTTTTGGCTACACAACATGTTTGCGTGCCACCACTGAAATTATATCAAACATGATCTACAAAAATTGCAATGAAGAAAACTTAAACTCTATGCAAATTATTCTCATTATGACTTTAGAAAATCACTTTAAAAACTTTTCGAGTTAAGACACCTTAACCATTCTCAACCATTCAACTTTATCAAACAATACAACTGCCTGCAGACAAGTTAAAGAATACATGCCGTATCAATCAAAAGCCAGAACTAGAGAGCTGCTTATGCTGAACAGAAGTGGCATTCGATTTGTCACAGGGTTTCTCAGTGGGCACTGCGGAGTTAAAAAGCATCTACCATATTGAACCTAATCAATATTGAATCAATAGAGACGATAGCTGCAGTCTTTGTTGCGAAGAAGAGGAAACAGCAGAACACATTCTGTGTCACTGTGATAGTATCGTTAGACTCAGACTTCGGTACTTATCTACTGGCTATCCACTTATAACGGAATTAGGCAACATCTTTCCAAAGGACATAATGGCGTTCTTAACTGCTACTCGTCTATCCAACTGAAATGGGTATGCAACAATAATCCTCAAACGACACAGTTCCCAGGAAGTTCCCAATCCATCTTAAAATCTGAATCTAATCTAAATCTAAGACACCTTAACCTATTTAATGCCATTGCATCAGTTTATATGGTACCATTATATATTTGGAAGTTCTACAGCCTAAATTGATAGGCAATATTTCAAGTCAAGAGATAAAATAAATACTCACATTAAAGAACACGTTTCTCTGGTTGTAAAATGGACAAGGCTACCCTTCGTTTTAAGACATAAATGTTTAAACACTTTTAAGTTAATTGAGATACCGTGTTTGAGACGGTAGACACAAACTAGTTAATAACATTTCACCAAAAAAACACAATTTTATCTTAATATTGATAAAAAAATGTGAATGGTCGTTATTATAACATGACCCCTTTAGTAAGTTTCGGGTATTTTAAGAACAGCTTTGTTTTCAATTGAATGTAAACAATGATGTTATAAATGGAATTATCATCAATCCTGCTATTATAGTTCATAGATTTGTTAAAAATATGCGTGAAATTTGAAAAGGATCAGTTAACTGCAATGAGTCATAATTTTAACACTCAGAGTCTACTCATAAAAACCAAGTATCAATTCATATAAATGTTTTACAAATTTGCGCTATAACCCCACCCCCTTCACAATCGCCCAATCAACGTAATTTAAGCTCATGTTCTCTGGCTTAGATGAATTTAGTTTCGTCAAAATACTAAGCCTCTCGCTCTAATCTCTCTCCCTTGATTACTCTGGAATGGGGTTGTATCCGCTGTACGCTCCAACAATCTTCTATGCTCAATCTTAAGAGGTGGTTTTAGTGGGTGCAAGTCTCACACTATGGCTTTCGATGCTTTCCAGCTACTGCAAAAAAAAAAACTTATACGTAATCCCATTTGTCATTAAAATGATTCACAAGTATTTTCATTAACGAGTGCCGGTGCTAATGAATTAGTGTCACAAGAGAGCGAATGTGATGACTCATGAGTTATAACATATATTCGAGTGGTATAAATCAATGAGTGTACTCATCAAAAATGATTGTCTGCCTTTTTTAGTGTTAGTGTTATGCTTCTATGCTCTTGAATATAACGTATGTATTAAATAAGGAGTTGTGAATTATGTACATAGTAAGCTATAGTAGCAAATTTAGGACGACTGTGACTGCAAATACTCATGACTGGTTCATAAATCGCTTGCATCATTTTTGTGTCGAGTGCAAGTGATTATGAGTATCATATAAGAATAGTAGAAATTATTATAAGTGCTGTCGAGTATACAAAAAGAGAGTCAGAATATGTGTAAATGAAATAAAGCCTCGAGTGTTGAGTACTCATTGCAGTTCTCTGATATGGGAGACATTCATTTCTGCCATTAGTTTATTAAATTAGTTTATTAAATGTGTATAACTGGTGATAAAGAAATATTTGCAGCAACCGTTAAAATTAAGAAGAAATAATTTTTAATGCTAAAAAAATGCATTCTTTCGCCATTTTTATTAGGAAAATAGTCTCATTTCTTGAGAACGCTACCTATGTCAACTTAAGATCAACCAGTTCAACCTGTCTGCCTTTCTTAGCTTAGTAAATGATCAATTTTAGCCCGTTCACTTTAAGTGCAAAATCGTTGTTAATTAAAAATGATTCGAAAAAGCTAATATCCCATGCACATCTCAGGAAGCAATGAAGTAGTCAACTTCATTAACTGCTTAACCTGATTGAGTTACTATGGTTGTTGGTGTGGTTTCGGTTTAAGTCAGTTTAAGAGAGTTTGTTCCAAACAGAGACTTAAAAAGCAAATCTATCACAATAGTGGCAGGAGACACATTCACCGTATTGCCTCCCTATTCTTCTTTTCTAAATAAAAGGTTAAGCTCTCAATAAATAAATCAATAAAAAAATTTCAGGATGGGATATCACCATACCTAATTCCAATGTCTTTGTGTATTTTTGGCAGTTTTCATTTATGTAATACAGGTGAGTCATATAAAACTTAATTATGTATATTTAAAACCTCTGTTTTTATTAATAAGTGATAACAAATGCTAATGGAACAAGTACTATATTCCAGGTTTTTATAATGACTTAAAGGCTATGGTATTTGGTTTTTTACTAATAACTATAAGTTGTAGTCTAAATATGAAAAAAAATATAATATTGTAAGAATTTAAACTCCGTTAATATGCTACGATTGTGGAATGAGAAGACGAGTGTATTAAGTGGTGAGATAAGTTTTACAAATGAAGGAGATACAGAACCTTATCCTATTTCGAATTGATCTACTGAAAACTTGTATTGATACTATTAAAAGGGAGGAGTTTAAACGAAGTTCCAACGATCGCGTGGTCTGGAGATACTGTGCTAATAGAATTAACCGGAAGAAGGATAATGTTAGGAGATAAGAAGAAGAAGATAAAATTCAATTAATTTTTTCAATTAATCAACTGTTTTTATTTGAGTCGATTTTTTTTTAAAAAATTGTAATAAAAATAGAACATTTTTCGTTATTTGCATTGGTTTTTAGATCTCTGTAGTAAATTCGGCGAAAGATATTTGTTGACGTATTATTTTATAGAATTGCAATTATTTGCGTAAGGCAAATGTGTACTTAAGATATATTACAAACACTTTGGGTACTTTTGTACTGCTCATATATATATAGTTTTAAAGATTTTAAGCTCATAAGAAAATCTTTAGCTTTATAAGGTTTAATTATGCTTAATTATTTGTTTTTTTTTCAAAATTAAAGTCTCTTACATCACAATAATCAATTTCAATTATTATTATTTAAATTATTATTTTTATACACGAACTTAAGTTGTTAATGTATCAATTTCACTATTGATTACACAAACCCCTTTAAAGCTTTGTGAACAAAGTCCAGAACTAAATCTAGAGCTCTGTTTTGGTGACAGAAATTCCATACGAAATAAATTTCTTCTGTGCGTTGTTGAAGCTGGACAGTCATAAATAATGTGCATAGTAGTTTCCTCATCTTCAAGGCATAATCATCTTCGAGGGATTCCAATTTAGCAAATAATCGCAGTTTATGGAGGTGATATTTCAAACCATAATGTCCCCTAATAAAACCTGTTAAAAACCTTAAATCATTTTTTGAGAATTTAAAAATGTTTTTCTAGGAGTACGGTTTGATCAGTGCTTTGCTTTGTCTAAGTCCATGAAAGTCACCACAGTACGTCAGGCGCCTATTATTCTCCATCTCCTTGATTATTTGTTTTATGCTGGCAAAGTTTAATCCACAAAAGGGTTGAGAGTTTGTAAAACAGTTTTTGATGCAGTTCTGGCTAGCTCAACAGCTTGTTCATTTTCCAAAGGTTTTAAAACTTAAAACCTAGTAAAGACTTACCATATTCCGTGTTGCTTGTTTCGACTTGGAAGTCAAAAAAAAAAGAACTTTAACCGTAATCTGGCTGTCAGAGTTAATAACAATATCTTGCTGATATTAGATCTTACGCATAAGTTGATTGCTTGCCCACTGCCATTAAAATTTTGGTGTTGGTGCCTCCATCCATTTTTGATCCATTTGTATGTCAAACCAAACTTTTTGGGTTAACTTATGGGTCTCCGTTTTTCCAAGTTGAGCGTGATGGTAGGTATACCTCAAATTTTCTACCAAAGCGATGGAATTTTTTTATATAGTCTCATATAGGTACATTTGCAGACTACAATTTATTGCATTGAGTTATTGAGTCAATAAATAAATTGTTGTTTAGAGCTTCTAACACATTCATCACTGGTATTTTAATCTTTAATTTTGCGCCGAAAGGAAATATGTAATAGGTACCCATATTGCTATATCGTATAGAATTGCCTATTTCTATTATTATTATGTGAATTAAAAAAAAGGGTGGGACTATAGCACTTCTACACCAAATTACAGACTGTTGAGTGATTTGATTGTCTGCCGATGTTCTTTCTGTATGTCCACTGATTCTTTCAAATAAGATAAGTATGAGTATCATTATTGAGGCAATGATGATTCTAGAGAATAAGCATTTTTTTTAGAATTTCAACATGTTTAGCGGTTGTTAAACGGTATAATTACAGTTTATATCGTATGGCAAACGATTTTTATTTTGTTAATAATGATATCGTTTTTAATTAATTATAAGTGTTTTTGGGCTTTTTAGAATATTTTAAATTATATAAAAAATATGTGGAGAAAAACATTAATTATATTTTGTTAATTTTATATAAAAATTATAGCGTATTTATTTTTAACACAGCCCATCTTCAGTGTTATTGATGTTCTTTATTATATTAAATTCAAGGGTCTGGCAGAAAAGATGTACTTATAAGCTATAAAACTTTAAACTAAACATAAGATTTTTTGGATTACAGCTCTCTTTGAGATATGTGACTGCTTGAGATGGAAACGGATGACGCTTTACATATGAATTGTATGAAAAAATTTATAAATAGTCAATTATAAAATTAATGACTAATTAAAGAATTATTTTTAACCGAAATATCTTCACGCAAATATTTGAAAAGATACATGCTTATGGTGTAAAAAGATATTGAATTAGAACTACGTTGAGTTTAGGAGGATATGTAGCGCATATCTGCAGTCAGTCTGACCGTCACTTTAAACTTTTTGCACGTTTTGTGTAAAAAGTTGCTGCGCGCTTTCAGGAATAAATTATTTTTAATTTATTTATTTGTTCAGGACTTTATCTTTTGACTGCGGGGGGACTTTTATTTGCTATTTTCGATATTAGTGCTGTATCATGGGTAATGTAGCTATAGTAGCTATAGCTGCAGTAGTAGCGGGGATTAAATGACATTTGAGTTGGATTTTTCAAAAGGGTAGAAGCATCAGTGAAGTGACTACATAACCATAGAAGTCCGTAGTGTATTCTTCACTCTCGATTTTTGTGCTACGTTTCATTTATTAAACCTGAACGTGCCATAATAAAAGTTACAAAAAATGTCAACAAATGTAATGAAGTGTCCTTGTTTTTCTTTTTCAAAAACATGAACTGAGAATGCATTTTAGTTTCATAGCTAAACGCTTCCGTCTTTTCTGCAAATTTATTATAAAACGATTGTTATGCTAAGTTCGACCCTTTTGAAGTCAGTAAACCAGAGCATTAACTAAATATGCACAGGCGAATGTACTGAGCTTGGATTAGTAGTTTGAGTTGGTGAGGATTAGATTAACAGCCCTAATAATCGTTTTAACTTACCAACGACATTTAAATATCCGAATTGTGTCTTCGCCGTCACAGTGTTTATTTGACACATATAGCGTCCTTTGTCCTCCTCGTGTACATTGCTGATGTGCAAATACCAGGTCCGATGTCGATCGTGCTTATCGTGCGTTACACTAATACGCGGATTACGCGTTATTACATGATTGTGCACGGTAAGGATGGCAGATTGCTCAAAATGCATCCAGGCAACCTGTACATAAATAAAAAAATCTTCATTACCATTTTTTAAACATTAAAAGTTTATTGTGGAATATATTGACAAAACAATCAGAAAATAGGCTGACCGTCATTTAGAGGCCCAAGTGCGCAAAACATTAATTAACGATTGGAAATATGATTGCCAGGACAACGTGGCGTCTTTCACATGGGAGCAGATGTAATACACTTTTTGGCCATTAGTATTTCATGTCATGTGAATATATTTACTTATGAATAATATCATACTTTTTTATTAAATACTTCCAAGCCAAAATTTTGTGTAATTTTGTGTATTTTTTAAAAATTTATAAGTGTGAATTATTTTTATTGTTTAGAGAAGAAGGTTTTTATATTTCTAATGACTTAAAACGGAACCTTAAATTTTAAACACTATACTAACTGTGTATCTCGAATGAAAGGCATTGACGTTTAAGTTATCCGTAATGGATTTTTTGCTCTTCTTCCAATATTACTAGAGTGCCGGTATTAAATAACGAACGTATTGGCAATGGCTTTCACAAATTTATTTAAGAATAAAATAAATAAGGATAGAATGTCTATTTTTTTGTTCTTTAATCTGCTGTTTTTCAACAATTTTTATTTTTTGATTTATGTTTTCCTTTTAAGCGCTTCTCTCTTGTATTCCAGTTAAAGTTTTATGGAAGCGCAGCAACAGGCGCTAAAGTTCCATAGCTCTATTTCGAAACATTTCAGCGAATTTATTTTTTCCAACTGCTCCTTACCTTATCGTCCATAATTTACTTGTAACCAACCGTCTAGTACTCGCTAAACCTTATTACCTTCATGTAGTTCTGGCTAGTATTGCCACTTGATTATCGGCTACACAGATGCAGACTGCATCGGAGCTATGCAATGAATCAAATGCGAATAAATTCGAAACTTTTATGTGTGCTCTTCCTTTTTCCATTTAAGTTAAAATAAAGTCATATTTTTTTTACTTAAAAGCATTGAGTTAATAATAAGTATTTTCAGTTTCTTTAATCACCGAAATGGCAGAAGTTTGTAGTTTGTACTATTTGTATTAAGTATTGGAGAATTATGTGCTAACTACCATTTAAAAAAAATCACAAATTTAAAATAAACGAGATTAAATTGACAATAAATTTGTGAAAAAATAGATGACTTTAAAAAAATATGCATTTTATTAACTAATATGGGATCTCCCATCTAAGTGTGCAACTTAATACTAATCTACTAAGAAAAAACCATGCGTATCAACACGCCAAACATCTTCCAGCTCACAATAAGTAATACGATCGTGGAAAAGTTTGATTACCTCGGTAGCATTATAATACCAGGAGGGGATACTTCAGAAGACTTAGTCAATAGAGTACGGAAAGCTAGATGTGCCTTCACTAATCTCAAAAACATTTAGTGTTCAATAACATTGCGTTTAAAAATTAAAACTACGATAATCGAAGCCCACGTCAAAAGTGAGTTGTTATTTGGATCTGAATTGTGGTTTGTTACGGCAACGATCCCACAAAAACTGTAAACATACGTTAACAGATGCCTTCGCCAGATCCTAAACATTTGGTGGCCGAGAACCATACGCAATAAGCGACTATCGGAAATTACGAATAAGCAGCCGATTGAAATGCAGAAGCGGAAATATGGCTGGCTGGGAGATGCGTACTCTAATATAGTAGAAAATAAGCGTGCAGATAAGCTTCATAGACTGTGCACTTCTTCTACGCATACTTCTATTTCAAATCCTGTCTCTGGCAGCTATAGTTGTAAGTTGATTTATGACCATTTTTTTCGACATTCAAATAGAGTGTGGACTCAAACTTGTTGTATTTCCAAGTCAACGTCTACATGGCCAATTTATTCCAAACGTAGAACCTCTGGGTTAGTAGCTGTCTTTACAGGGCACTGGACAATAGGATGGCATGGAGCTAAGCAAGGCCTACACTATAGTATCTTCAGTAACGCGTTTCTACCGACAATCGAATAATGGACACCAGAATATCTGTTGTGTCTATGCCCAGGATTGATCGGAACTAGACTTAAGCGTTTGTGTGCCCCCTTCTTTAAGACATTCAGCTATTTCTACAGCATTAGCTTTAGACAGACTCTCGCTTATATATGCGTAATATTGCTTCTGGCTGGTTCTAACTTGACCATTCATCTGCCCATTATCACGAGGTATTGCGGAATCAAAATGGCTTTGTTAGCTAATTAAGGAGGATTTGTTCCTCCCTCAACTTCAACTAACTTAATCTTCTATAGTCTGAATGTCCAATTCTTGTTTCTTGTTCTTGTTTTCCAATTCTTGAAATTCTTGTTTTCTATCAGCATGGTTATTCTGAGGCAAAGAGTTCTGCATTCGACTCACTCTCAGACACTAAAAGTATTGTGGATTACTGGCTTATTGTTGGCATCATGAGAGTAAATGAGCAGTGAAATTTTTTAAACTGTTGACATTCGTGACATGACAAATGTTCACATTACCGACCTGAAGGGCAAGTTTTGGAGATTTTCAACAACTTTATCATAGCTTCAATCTAAATGACAAACCAGAATAAACTTCGCAATATTAATTCGTGTTGTCCTAATGTTTAAGAATTGGAGATAGCTTTATGACCCACTAATTACTTCTCACAGCTAACTCACAAGAACCGTGCGGCTTCTGCAGTGGTACCATATCACTTCTTCATATCCTTCAATACTATCGCATGTTTTAGGATGAAAGACAATTTTATTTAAGAGTCGATATCCTTTCACATCATCTGCTCTATCTACTTTGCTGAACATCGAACTAATCTATCGATTCGTAGCAGAGACTGTGTTCCTTTCAGGTCTCAGAATCAGACACACTTTTATGTTCCACTAATATTTTCTCATAGCTAACTATTAGGTCTAATATTACTTTTTTCTATTGTCCATTATATCCGTTAACGAATTCATTCAGAAATTTGTCTCTGCAAAAAGAATAGCTTTGAAGATGCAAGGACATGTTTCAGTAAATATATGGTTCAGGAATGGTAAACAACTTTAGAATTTAGTACATTTTTTATTATTCAATTTAGCACCCTGTATTTATCATTCACCAATGGATAAATATCGATACACTTGAACAGGTGAGGACATGACTTATTTGAAAATATCGAATAATTTTTGCAGTTTTAAATTACAAAATAAAAATTGAAAGATCCTTACAGTGGAAAGTAGCATAAAGCTATGATGAAATGGAATCCAGAAATTTTTATATCATTTCCCGTGAACTTAAAGTTACGCACTCATACAAAGCCAAATATCCTTACACATCTACACATACAGTCGCATACGCGTACGCGTACGTATAATCTAGAGTGTGTACGCTCTGGTACGTAAGAGGAACGCATTACATTGATTTACAGCGACGACTTTGGGTTTAAAGAAGTACGTGGATGGAATTAATAAAAATAAAAACATATCAGATGCGTGAACGCCAAGGAGTAAATGCAATATTCCGAGGAAAGATTTTACTGATTTCGTAGTACGACTGACGTTTTACTTGAGCATTGAATACAGTGTACATAGATTATTTTCTAAACACATTCTGGCTTCCGAATCAAATATACTCGTGAATGGAACTGTGAAAATTAGCTAATGTGACAATCATCCCTAGTCGACAGAGTTTCCAATCACTGCGATATGTAAGTATGTGATTTCGTACAATATTCTAAACTTTACTTAGCACTGTTCGAAACAACTGTCAAAGTCATATTAAGAGCATATATTAATATATGTAAGCTCGCATATTCATTTAATACATTAATATAAAAACTGCTATATATCTAAATCTGATTTTAATAATAATGATAAAATATAGCTTGATGACCTTTGAACTAATTGCATCTTCTACTCTTTCTTTTCTGGATTATACTTGCATTTACACAAAAAGCAGCATAAATATATATTCACTGGTGCTTTCAGTATAGTATTTTGTCATATAGAATATAATATACTTGTGGTACCCAAGAGAAGAGCTATATGAATACATAAGCCTTGAGTTTTGTGGTGTAATTAATGCATTGGTTTTCAACTAAAACAAATTCACAAACATTTCAAACATAAATCGCTCGTTTGTATTTCTTTAGAATACTATTGTCTTTGCATTCAAAATTTATACTCAAAAATGTTTTAAAAATTTTACTGGTCGTTTTTTCTAAAAATTATGAAATCATCTTTAAAATGTGGATGGCTTAGAATTGAAAGCGAACTGCCGGAAAATACCAAGTGAATTCCTTAAAATTGTACACATTTTGTTTTGCATCGGACCGATATTCTGCTCTGAGTCGAATGCGAATTTCAGTAGCAAACAATCGCCTCCGGCCAAATACAAATGTTACTTTTAGTGCTTTGGAAAATTCATGCTTTTAACTTGGTTTTTCTTCAGCCTCTGCATCTTCTATTCGTTTAGGATTTATCCTTTTGCTGGTTAAATTTTTTGCTACTTTTCAAATTTCGGTGCAGATTTTCCCTTCATATTTGACGCTACAATTGGCAAAATTTCGTTGCCGCCTGTTTGCAATATCAAATTACTTCTTCCTGCATAATTCGTGCCCCTAAGAATGCGATACTCTTGCCGCAAAATAATTTTTTATTGCTTTCCGTAAATGTTGCTGGGCGAAAACCGTGTTGAAGCATAAACAGAATAAAATTTTAATTTAAATTTTTTAAATTAAAACAAAGAATTCGTTCCTGCCTTTATATGTTTATACGAATAAGCGGTGTGCATTCGGTAACTTTGTATTCTTTAAGGATTAAATAATTATTTAAAATATTAAAATATTAAAACTTTAATAGAGATTCAAAAAAAAAAAAAAACAAATGCTTACAAAGGACTTCCCTTGTAGTCGGAATGGTTTTACCATGATTCCGGAGGATGATCCTTTTGTGGGTGATATTCTTTGGTTTACAATTCTAACTCGATTTAGAGCTTTAATAATACAAGTTTTCAAGCAAACTAATTAGTAT